ATTGTGCTTGACAGCTGGTATGAGGTGTTCGTGCTGATATGCTGTGTTTAGTTTTATCCAAACGTGGTGCTGTGCATTATGGCCAGACATCTGTGCTTTGGTCTTGTCTATCCCAAGGAATTGTTCCACAATTTCATTGTACATGCATAATGTCAATAAAATGCAATATATTATATTCAGAGTAGGGCTGCTCGATTATGGCAAAAATGATAATCACGATTATTTTCACTGAAATTGAGATCACGATTATTTGACGATATTTATTTAACCCTTTAAGACCTACTATAGAACCAAGTCCACCAGAGCTTATATTATTTTTTTACATGCTGTAGTGCCATTTGTGGGAGCATTTCAAGTTGCTATACATCAATACAACTGTTATAGCCCATATTTTAATAATATGTATGCATTAAGTCCATAGTAACTACATAAATTGCAAAAAAGTGCAATAAACTACAAAAAAAAATTGAAAATCGCTTTTGTTTTGTTTACATATATTTCTACTTGGAGAAGTTTAAGAGGTTTATCCCTCAAAACTTTAAATACAATAAAGTTGCAAAAAATAGTTTACAACAACAGGAAATTTATTTTGAGTGTCTTCATAGTTTTATTTTGGAGATACAGCAATTTTTATATACTGCAGGAAAAATGAAAAACAATCCTATGATGCAAATTTGCAAAGAAAACAGCATGTGCATCATTTCACTGTGGGAAGTGTTACGAACAGCTGATAGGAACGGCAAAGCGTGTTTCTGGAATATTATGTTTTTGTTCCTGCAAGCGCTTTTTATGCAATTTTTGCAAAGCTTTATGTGGAACGAAACCGTGACCGAGGACAAGCTGATGGCATCAGATGTAAGTACAACTCCTCCGGTTTCATATGCAAAACAAATTATTGCGCTAGCTTACACGGTTCAGGTTCTACGGGGATTTAAAAATAGTTACACAACACGGAGCGTGCTGCTCTGACCGGATTTAAAGGGTTAACAATGACTTTTAAAAAATAATATAAAATGGTGTGCAACACCACTGAAGTTATTTTGTTTTTTTTTTTAAACTCTCTTTTCAACCAACGGCAGTCACTCTCCAAATAACTTCTGCTTAGCTTTCCGAGCTTCCCTCAGGTCCTCTTAATCAGCGGTCTCCAACCTTTTTTGCGCCACGGATGGTTTATGCCCGACAATATTTTCACGGACCGGCCTTTAAGGTGTCGCGGATAAATGAGGGAGGGGCTAATAATCGGCTCAGTCATTTTTAATGATCGTTGAAAGCCCAGATCGTAATCGTGATTAAAATTCGATTAATTGAGCAGCCCTAATTCAGAGTCTTACAGTTTTCCAGATGCAACTCTGCGAACGTAACCCATGATGCCATGTTCTTCTTAGACAGAAGAGGCTTTCTCCTGGATAATTGGAAGCTGTCTTGAATTTTTTCCGCTTGCAAATAAGCATTCTCATTGCAGGATAAACCTCCTCCAAGGAGGCAGCTCACTCTCTGGGCAGTGTTTACTTTTCAGAGTGCAGGATTGTATTTTGTATATATTCATTTTGTTTCCTCAAATTGTGGTTGTGTTGTATTTAAACAGCTTTAACCTGGTACTCGAATGTACATTTAAAGTCAATAAAATCATCATATATAATTCCCTATATAGTTATATGTTGTCAGTACCAACAATGGCAGTAACTCTAGCATAATAGCATTATTATCACTTTGGCCTTGAAGGAGAGGTCATAGGTCAGATGTGATATTTTAAATCTTTATATAGTTTTTTCTGTATGTTGACAATATGTAGCACATAGTTTCTAAGTTTTTTTTTAAATCAGTTTTCATCCAATAAATCATTAAGTTGACCTTAAAGACCTCTGTGGAAATGAGTCGAATTTGAATGGATTGTGAACATGACCCCACTCCACACCCCTGCAAAGTTTGATCAGAATTCCAAACTTTTCGAGTTATCGTGTTTACAGACATAATAATGACACAGACACGCTCACAAATGCTAACAAAACCATAACCTCCATGGCAGAGGTAATGATGGACCGTGAATTGTTTGAAAATGACCTTGTAACCCTTCCCTGGAGAGCAACAATGGCTGCTCTAATCACTGCTGACGTTTTTCCTCCTTGGCATTGTGTTAACCCACACAGGCTTTACTTTTCAGTCGTGCTAGTTTTGGTACTAATGTGCATCAAGATAAGAATGAAGATCAATAGAAAATGAATTTAAGAAAAGATAAGCCAACTTAAAATTTAAACACTTGTTTCTGTTTTATGTTTGGCGGATTTTTAAATCAAAAGCCTCAGAAGGAAAAGTAAGAACACGGGTCCAGTGATCTATAATGAGATGTAAAGTACTTTGTAGCTGGATAACTCGGTTCATAACTAGAAATTTGCCTTTGCTCTCTCACTGAAATGACTGTGGAGCAAATGTTTGTTCAGATGCGCTGGACATTTTCTCTTCTCATCATCTTACTCCTTTTCCCCTTTGAAACATACTGCTGGAGCATACACAGGCTCTGTCATCATTTTATCTGCAGATAGATTTATTGGTTAGCATTTAATAACTAAAGCTTTTTATGTATGTCTATATCTTTGAATCATATTTATGTACCTGTCTTTCTCAATGTATCCATCTCTTTCTGCCCGTTAGTCTAATTCTCAGCTATTTCATTTGCTTTCTTCTTCATCTTTTTTTTTAATGTCTTGCCAATACGAAACAGTAACACATGCATTTACAACCACAGATTTTCTTTGAACATCCATATGCGCATGACATAAACATGCATGCTCGCACATCCATCTTCCAGCTCAGCGCAGACACTAATGCGGTCATATACCGCTTGCAGGGCCATATGATAGTAATTTGGCAGAATGAAGGAGCACGAGGGCTCAGCTGGAGTTTGGGTTCGAGTGGAAGAAGATCGAGTTTGTTGGCAGGAAACAGGATGCCGCCTTTTGACTCTGTGACCGTGTCAGAAGCGGAGGGATGCACTATAAACCTCTGATATTATGACATGTATCATTTAAACCTCATGATTCTTTTGAAATGTGAATCTCTTTAGTTTCACGAAACACTAACAGACAGTTATTGATACTCACAGAGCAACTTTAATGTTTGCTGGAGGCCATTTTCGGTCCATCTGATGGCTGTAATTCTAATGTGTACATTTGACTTTCCTCTAGTTTGGTGGTTTTGTCTGCATTGTGTTGCGTTTGCTGGCTTTAATTTTTGCTTCTCGAAGTGTTGCTTGACCAAACAGCACAGGTAGAATCACAATAACATTCATCTGACGCGTGTTTGCTTTGCTTTGTCTCATATTCGCAACTACTGTAACTAACATAGCAGTTCTTTTGACGTGGTCTCAACCCAGTTGTGTCAAAATCAGTTCAGAGTTTACTTTGGGTAATGTAGAGAAGCAAACACTGGTGAGTTTGGAAATGGAGATCTTATAACTTAGCTGTATATCATCGCTTTTGCAGAGTCTCAGTGGTCTGTGATCACTCTGATTAGTTAACATTTGTTGCTTGTAAGAATAACGCAATATTGGAAAAAGAGAAGGGTCTGTATAAATGATGAAAGTAGCTTATGCTTGTTTTATATATATATAAGTGGCAATGTTCTAATAGCAAGCATAAACATAAAGTATACAAAGGTTATATAATACCAGCTACCTGTATGAACCAACTGTTGCACAAAAGCCAGATGAGAGCACTGCTAACATGGTTACATTGACACATAAAACAAGAGCCTGAAATCATTAACTAATACTTAATACACGCTTTTTATAACCTCTAGTCTCTCACTTACTCCGGTGTGTTTCTTATTAGGATTAGCCCGGCTTCCATAGCTCGCCTACAGCTGGTGCAAAAAGCACCAATCGATTTTTAACTAGCACAAGCAAGCGAGGGCACATTACTTCAATTCTGACTTCCCTTTACTGGCTTGCAGTTTGTTTGCAAATCCATTTAACTTTTTTTTTTTTTTTTGCTTGTTTGTTTGTTTTGTTTTTATGGTTTTATGTATTGCAAATAGGAACAATTTGCGGCTGCAGCTCCAAAACAGTGGAAAGTTTTGCCATTGCACATGAGACGAGCTCCTTCATCTTTAAATCTTTTTTAAAAACGCTCTTTTATTTCCTGACTTTCGATTTAGTGTCATTTGTTGACTATGAATTTTATGTTCCTCTTTTATGTGCATTCATTATTACCTTCTACAGCTTGTATGCGTCCCTAGAACTTTTACTCTCTGGGCTGTTTTTGTCTTATAGGTTTGGTTTTGTTGTTTGGTCAGACCTGTTTTTCTTTAAATGCTTTATAAAGAAAGTGATATAATAATGGAAATGGGGGGCTAGCGCCTGTACCAGCTGTCGTGGGGTATTTCAAGCAATAATTTGAAACATCTCACAGGTTTTCTGGTCTGATGCATCCTAGTTAGTGGCTCATTCTTCCTTCATTTTGTGGTTTAATGGTGGGCCCCAAACCATTAAAAAGAAGAAGAAATTTGTATTTTTGACAAAAATAAAAAATTCACCTTAGCTATTTGACTTTTTTAATAACCTAATGACTGTTCAGATATTCAAAATCATGCCTATGTCTAGGATGTCGACATGCTTGGGCTGTCATGTGTTCTGCAGGTGCTGTTGTCATATGAATACACTTATAGCTTATTAGTGCTTAATAGCATGCCATTATTATAAAGTGTTGCCTATTTTAAATTTCATTGGCATTTCCTTGTACTGTTCACAAGTCAGTTCACTATTAAACAATTTACTTAACACAAATATTATATAAAATAATGTGCAAATAATAATTAATTTGTAGCACCAATCATGCAGGTCTGCTGCCATTAGCCAGGTTGTGCTCGAGCACTCGTACTTCCTTGTCATCCAAGTCATCTTGTTTTTGGTTTTTTTGGCTGATCTTTTCACTGCATCATGATAAATTATGTTGCCCGTGCACAAGCCTCTAGTTATAGCTACTGCTCCTCTTCCTGTGTTTCAGGTGCGCAACCTGTGCTACATGGTGACACGGAGGGAGAAAATGAAACACACCCTCTGTGACCTCCAGGAGAAGATCTTCCACCTTCAGATACAACTGCTGGAAGAGGACATGGCTGGAGGTAAGGGTGAGACAAAATGTGAGCATGCGTCTCCACTCATCTAATTGCAGCCATCTAAACTTACCAATATAAAAAGCCTGTTACCTTTCACCCACTCGAGCTCTGCAGCCAATGCCGCCAACACGTACTCTATCCTTCCACCACCCCCCCTTTCCCCCCAAAAAAAGTACAATTTGGAAAGCTCAAGTGTATAACAGTTACATCCAAGCCCTTGCTGCCTGAGTGTGGTGGGTGGATAGTTTTGGAAATGGCCTGTCATCATTTTTGCACAGTAGGCCACACTTGACACATGCACAGCAAAGAACACTGGAATAATAGTTCAGCCAGATATTGTGACACCGACCATCCACATAAATGGAGCTCGATTTTCTATCCACTCTACACAGATGACTGACCTTGGTGCATTTTGTGCAGATGCTTTGTGATGGAGAGCAGGAAGGATGAAGAAGGCTGCTTGAGTTGTTCCTGCTGTGGTGGTCAGATAACTGCTCACAGTGAGATTTACTGTCCTAGTGAAACATCCAGGTTAAATGGAGTCTATTTCTTTATACATTTGTATTCTCCTCACAGTTCCCCACTTGCTATCTTCATCTAGAATTGTGGGTTTTTGTCTCTGTGGGTTGTGGAAATATTAGAATTTCACCTGGAAATGAGTCCTTGGTAGAAGCATCACAGATTATTATACGCTGATTGATCCTTAGTGTAACTATTCCAGACCCAGACTGAGGCCTTCACAGCTTGTGACGCCATTGGTAGAAATTGTGCAGTATGAATATTCGTATTTATAAAGTACCATTTCTCTTGGGTAGACCTGTACAGTTTTTGATGGTATAAAACAGGGAGGTTGAATTGTTGATGCATTTTGGTCTGTTTCAGATGTTTGTGTCTTATAATCCAGTGGTTCTAAAACTGCAGGGGGATAGAGCCACTGAAGGTGGCGCTTGGACAACCAGGAAAAAATCTGGATTAAAACAAAGTCCGTGTAGATTCAAGTCCCACAACCAGCCAGCCATCTTGGAATGAATTTGGACAGTTATTTTGAAGCCCATGTCTAAATAAATGGAGAGAGACTCATAACTTCAATTTCATGGGTCACGGAGAAATAAAATCTGCTTCTGAAATTTTATTTTATTTATGTTTAAAAGGCACACAACCACAGTGGCATTTAAATCAAACAAGACTTAAGTGTAGACTTTCAGCTTTATTTCAAGGAGTCAATAGAAATATTACAATAACTGTTGAGGAATTAGAGCAACTTGTAAACATACCCCCAATTTCCAGCAGGTCAAAGGTGATTGAACGCTTGACAATTAAGTAGTTTCATGGGGATGGCTGCTCTGTACTCAGCCAAAGGCTGCAAAACCAATCAGACAGCACTTCACAGTACAAATGGATACTGGCTCAAAGCATACTGCAAAAGCAACCCGAGAGTTTCTCAAGGCAAAGAAACTGGATTTTCTTCAATGGCCAAGTCAGCCACCTGATCTCAGCCCAACAGAGCAGCTTTTCACTTACTAAAGGCAAAACTGAAGGCAGAGAACAAGCAAAGCAACTGAAGGCAGTTGCAGTAAAAGCCTGGCAGAGCATCTCAGGCAGGGAGGAAACAGCATTTGGTGATGTCCACGTGCTCTAGACTTCAGGCAGTCATTGACAACAATTTCATCCAAGTATTTAAAATTAGATTTAAAATTATTGAGCATCTGTAAAATGGGAGGCCGTGTATAAAAAGGACTCCAATTCCTAAACCGTAAATGCAATACTTTTGCTAAACTGCTGATCCTTTTTCATTATTAATGATAAAAACGGAGTGATGTAGGGCTGGAACACTTTTCTGAAGTGGGACATGACTTCAAACATTTGATGACCTCTGATGTAATCCTTCAAGACATGTTGAGATCAGCGCTGTCTGGATGTGCTACCATTTGTTGCAGGAAACCCTGTTCTTGTTGTTACTGCACATCACTCTAGTTTTGAGGTTGTTCTCGTGCTGAAGCCTCCTCGATAGCACTTGATATGATGTATAAGACAGAACCTTAGTGACAGTTATCACTACAAACAGAGATTTGTAGTGGGTTAAATAGTTATAGAACAAAAACAGTCATTTAAATTGGTCATATTTGTTGCTATATTGCCATCCTGCTGGAAATTCTGATCTTGTTTTGTTTAGGTTTTTTTATATTGATGATGTTTTAAGAATAGTTGTTAAGAAATTACAGCGATCCGCATCTTTGTTGCTAAAAGGAAGCTTTTCAGTTCGAGGAGTCGTGACCTGCAGCTGTCATGGCGATGACAGTGAAAGCTTGTTGTCATGGTAATACCACTAACGTCTTGCTGGCATGGTAATGATAGTGAACTTCTGTCAGCCTGCTCCTGTGGCTGTGTGTGTGTGTATGTGTGTAGTTGGAGTGTTGAGTTTGCAGTGCTCTTCGTTCCCGAAGAAGACTACACACACATTTACGCACTCAAGTAAATCAAATGCGAACACTTTCACTCTCTCTGTTTCTCCGTAACACACTCCCAAAGGCACACACGCACACACACACCTACACACACAGACACACACACACGCAGTGCAGAGCTCCTGACTCAGCAGATTGCTGCCATCAGGTACCAGGAGCTGTGCTGCTGGCACTAAACAGCCATATCTATTCACACTGCCACAGGAGTTAGATTAGAGAGAATAGTTGGTGTGTGTGTGTGCGTGTGTGTGTGTGTGTGTGTGTGTGTGCGTGTGTGTGTGTGTGTGTGTGTCAGGGAAAAAGAGAGAGCACCAGAGAATGAAGGATGAGGTTGTCTGCTGTAATGATTTGTCGTGTCTCTCAGCATCTTTTCCTTTTAGTATTTTCCACTCTCCATTTCTTTTTATCCTCTTCTTTAATTATTTTTTCTCCTCCATCTGTTTCCCTCGCTCCTTCTCTCATTTGCAGTCTCCTCTAAGGCTCGTATCTTCCTCGTCTGTCTCTTTCAGTTATGTTATTTTGGTTGTCTCATCTGACATCCTGTTTTAGTCAGTCCATCAGTTGTATCGGTCTGGCTTTCTTCCATTTAGACTGATTTCATGGCATTAAAGGTAGGGCTGCTAGATTATGACAGAAATTATCATTATGATGACTTTGGTCAATAACTGTAAGACTGGTTATTTAATATTGTCATTTATGTAGTCACACAGGAAATCTTTTTGAATTGTAAAAATAAAAAATAAAAATACAGATGACTAAGTAGAGAACAAGTGTCAGTTTCTTACCGTGGAGTAGAAACTGACTTTGTTGGCATAAGGAGAGAGGAGACTGTGAGGCGGTGGTAGCCATGCAGAGAGTAATAAAGAAGCCTTCAGGTGAGCAAGCGCAACCATTAGTGATCCTTCAGCAGGTTCACCTGTTGAAACCTTTTACAATGTCTGGACAGACTGGGCAGACCGTAGGCCACCTCCTTCTGGCACCTTGGTTCCATCTGCACTTAAAGACTAATCAACAACATTTAAGGCTTCAGGTGCCAAGGTAACCCTTATTTAGCACCATTTCATATGACAGCTGTATCCTTAGTTCTCATTGGTAGCTGCTTCATTCACTACTCTGCGAATTAAGAAAAATCTAGTTTCACCATTGACTCTGTGTTGCTGGAAATTGCTTCCACTGTAACCGTCAGTGAACTTAGGCTGCAAGAGAAATTTAAAAGACTTATGTTAAGTCGTTATTGATCATGTTCAGTGGGCTCGTATCTTCGGCCAAATCACATGTGATTGCTTGTGTGTCTTTGTAAAATGGGTGAATACGCTGAATACACAAAAACGATGTACAGGCTCGTTTTTTGTGAACATCTTGAGTTGATGTTGGACGATTCACGTTGGGAACCATAGCACTGTTTTTCTTGGCCTTCATGCATTCCTTATACTGGAGTTTGTAGTTTTCAGGCACTATCTGACTGCCATGGTTACAGTCATATTCAGTTGGAGCAATTTGGGGTTCAGTATTTTGCCCAAGGAAGTTCAGGAATGTGGACTGTCCAACACTCATTCTAGGCTGCGCACAAAGCGTTTACAACTATAAGAATCAGGTTTTTCAGATACCCTTAGTTTCCCTTCCATAAACTGCACCACTCTTACTCCCTTTATGGGCTTGTTTCCAGCTTCTTTAACTCACCTAAAACAGATCCACTACCCTCTGTCCGCCTGTCTGTCTCTCATAGTACTTCATCTGTCATCCATGCTCTGTCTGCCATTCTGCATGCCTGTCTGTCATGTCGGGGGCTGCCCGCGTCATGCTTTGTGAGTGCTAGCATGGTTTCAGCAAGGCGGAAAGGCATGCGGGTGATATCCCAAGTGGTCTCCCATCGAGACAGAGAAGCTACACAATGCTGAATGCATAAAGCAGAAAACTGCATTTTGTAGCAAGAAGCACAGAAAGTAAATAAAAACTAATTGAGACGAACTGTGTGCAGAATTTGAAATGGGGAGATTCCCCAAGCCTTTACATGTTTACAAAACGGATGGTCAAGAGTTTTTGTCATTGCTAAATTTTAAAGTATACGCACAAAATAATTCAAATTTTAACTTGTTCCGCGTGAGGGATGTGAATTAGCTCTCTCCTTCTGTGGCCTCACTTTAATGATTGGTTTCTGGGCTCAACTGCTTGCTTCATTTGTATTTTCATTATATTCTGGATAGGTCCAAAATACAATGGGTACCTACAGTTACACTTTTAGATATTTTAAATGGGGGTAAAAGACTTTCTTGTAAGAATTAATGACATTAGATACTTTGATGTCATTTTAATTTTACACCAGTGATTAGAAGCAGAGAATTTCTAACAGCAGCTGTCTGACAGCAGTCAGTCAGCTACCACAATCAGCACAAATGTACAGTTTCTGATAAGCTTTTGTTTTGATTTTAACTTTGCTCCCAGTCTCTTGTAGTAATCAGTTGAAGACTGATGCCATCAAGCGTGTATGTCCTCTTGCAAATTAGGAAAACTAATACATGGCCATGCTGAAGTGTTGTCAAG